CTGCACATTTCTTTTTTTGCAAATGCATGTAGCATCTCACTCTTTTGTGTAGATGCAATGGATCAAACAGCCTGTTAACACTTCAGGGAATTTCGACTTTGAAAGTAATTAAGATGAAGAAAAAATTATTCAAACAGTACGATCAGTTAAATATTTTGGTCTTCCAGAGCTCTAGAAAAAAGCAGACTAGAAGCCTGAAAAACTCTTAACTGGCTGCTGAAAACTCAAGAGTAAACAGGGCTTTTTCATGTTGGGAGAAGTCACAGCTCTTATATTTCTGGCCCTGATTCCATCCTGGCAATACAGAAGCAAGCACCACTTCTGGAAGAGTGAACTTGAGAATATATATATACTGGAGAATTCCTTCCCTACCACATTATTATAATTACCTTTTCAACCGTGCCTGTCATGGGTGCTACAGCACCACTTTGCACTCCCACTGAACTCACTGCAGAGAGGTACTTGGGTACAGGAAGGCCAATCTGAGCACTACCTTCCTACAGAAATAAAAGCAATGACATATGAGTTAACAACATAAAATAATACCACTGGTAGACGTCCTGACACAGAGGGAAGGAACAGATCCACATTCAGTCAGGTCAGTCAGCCGTTACGAGAGGCGGAGTACCGGGGTCAGGGCAGCAGAAGGACTGTTGGCATCTTTACTATTTTGCCAATGTCCAAGTCCTTAAAGGCCACGCTTGCTGCCACTAAGGGCCAGCAAGGAAGGACCTACCCCTGTGAAAAAGGGACTCAGCATGGACCACTGTCCCAAACCCACACCTACCTTATTCACCCAGCAACAGCACAGAAGGTTTTAGAAAATGTGTGAAGACTGTCTGCATGAGAGATAGGCAGGCTGCTATACCAAGAGAGACGCTGGCGTCTTCACTGCCAAGCAGTGTCCATGAGTGTGTCACAACCCACCACAAAGCAGATTCAGCGCTGAGCTGAGCAAAAAATCCTCACTGTCATTCAAAATCCAATTCCTCTCAGACTTGCTACCTAGAGTTTACCAAAGACTCATTCTCCCCAACGTCCTAAAACTCTCTGTGATTTCTTCTAGATCCCCTACCTGAGACTCCACCCTGGCAGCACAATAAAACTGTACTCTGCCATTCCAGCATGAGTTATCTTGTACTCATCACAGGAGCAGAAAGGTTTTCACTGCATTCTGCTGAAAGTCTTAAGGGGCTCAGGCTAGAGGTTAATTATTGAAACTAAGACATAATAATTTACTTTAATAATTTACTCATTTAGATGACATTTTTATTGAGTTACTTCCAGGTCCTGTAATCTTTTTAACTGCAGATAAAAAATTACCAGCCTAATCATGCAAATTAGGGTACCTCGTCTTTCAAATGCCATTATTCATGCACTGCAGATAATGCCATGGTAACTCCTCACTACAATTTTTTAATATTAGCTGAAGTTAACCTTTGTCAGACTAGTACAGATTTCTTTCCTATTTAATACTAAAAACTAAATACACTAAAATAATCAATTACAAGCACTTTCAAATAATTGTCAGTTTGAAGTAATTGCTGCTGTTCTATGACAAACTCAGATACCTGATCAATTTAATACTTTTCGTTCCCCCTCCCAAACCACCATTTGCAATTCTTGATTCACTTAATTGCACTGTATCTTTCTAAAAGGCATTTATTTTTTTCACTCAGTGGCCACAAGCTGCTACCTTCTAATTCTAGCTATAAATCCAACAAGTGTCAAAATGTTATGGGCCAATGTAAGAACATGAAGTTATTATTCTCTTTCACTTCCTCTTGCAGTTTATATTGTTCATTTACATGGATAAAACTCTGAAATTTTAAACTTGTGATAATAAAGAAAGGAACTTTACCGGAAAGAAGAGATAAATGGTGTTGTCCAGGATGACCAGTTTGGACTTACACACTGTTCCATTCACTGAAGACCTCAAGTAAACTGATTCACCTTCATTGACAATCTCTCCAGAAATCACAAATGTTTTATCTTGAATCTGGAAGTTAAATGCTTTTATGAGAACAAAGCCTAACCCTTCATGCTCTAATGACAACCCCGAAATTAGCATTTGTAACATACACTCATAACCTGTGATTCTTCACAGGTAATTCTGGAATTTTTAAAAAAAATCGTACGTACCCTGTATTTTTCAATTAACAGAATGTATTCTGTATCCAATGCAACCAGCTGAGAAGGTTAGCTAGCACACACTCTTTTATCACAAACTATGCAACAGCACTCAGTAAAATACAAAGGTATGTTATTTCTCAGGAAAAAGAAAAACCCAGAATATTCTGTTTAGTGATGCTACTAGAATCCAAGATCTTAATTTGTCCTAGCATCTTGACTTTTCTTCAAACTGAAAAATCCAGACTATTCACCTCACCTCACAAATTTCCACAATGCTTCGCAAAAGACAAGTAACTTTGTCACTCTTGGAAGCTTAGAATACAAAAATTACAATATATTCAACCTACGGAGGCACAGAGGAGAGCAGTAATGGAGACAGTGTCAATTAGACATAAAAACTGCAAGAGACCAAACTGAAAGGTCATTTATTTGTAGGTAAGCCTTTCATCTACATCAATGGAAATTGCACCTCTGACACAACTCCAGAATATAAACACAGTAAGAATATGAACATAAGTGCATTATATTTAACTGATCTTTTTAGTTGTAAGTCCAGCATCAGTGAAGGAAGCAGCAGAGACTTGCTAGTCTTTCAAGATGTTAGGAATGGAGATAAAATTCAGTCTTCATTTATACAGTCACATACTATTTTTCCTCTGAATGAACACTTGTAACATACATTGAAAGGATACATCTCCACACAGACTAAGCAGTTCATAAATACTGACTTATTGTCCTAATTCTCCTTTTCTGAACATTGGAAACAAGGAGCCAAATTACAGAGAGACTTCATTCTCAAGCACAAAGTAATTTTGGGTGCCAAATCTGAGATAAAGCCCATTTGACTCCAGGTGATGCAAAGATATTCAACACATGGCAAAACACAACCCACAGCAAAACACAACCCCCATAAGCCACACAATTAACCTATCACAGATGTGTGTACACACACACACACAAATAATCTGTTTAAAGCATCTTGAGTTGTATCCTGCAGAATCTCTATAGGTTAGAAAGAGAAAGAAGCCAAGTCTCTGTGCATCATCAAACAAAAGATTTACTAGTCTCATCGTTCCTCATCTCATTTGGCAATCACTTTCCAATTTCCATCTTCAGAAGAACAGTGTTATCTTCCAGATAATGCTATAGAAAGCTTTTATTTATCCCACAGGAGACTCATCTCATGCACAGAATAAAGCAGGAGTCCTGTGGAAATGTCTTTTAAAATGCCAATGTAAATCTAACTTGCAATGTTTTAGAAGGACAAATTTAAGTAACAGAAAAACAGAGTAAGATTTTTACATACTGGAAAAAAAACCAAATGCTTTTCTTAACCTTAATTTTAGAAGCATTTTAGTAGGTCTTCCACATCAATCCATGATCTAGAAAAGATAATTTCAGGCCAGAATAATAGTCCACAACAACGGCTGCAAGCAGTTGAAATCCTAAATGAAATCCTGTACTGGTAGTTACCAAGCAACTTTAATAACAGTTATTACCAAGGGACATCTACAGGAAACTGATCCCTCTTTTATCTAATGAAGTATTTGAAAAAAAATGGACTTGTACCTGCATGTTGTAGGACCCTCCTTGATTGTAGCTTACAGCTACATCCACAACTGTTCAATAAAACAAAGTATGTCAGTAGATTTAACAGTAAGATTGAGAATAATAACAAACAATATTTAGTCTATATTATTTGATTAAAAAAAGAGACCTACAAATGCTAAGAAGAGAATGAGTATTTTCAGATTAGCTTAGTGCATGCTGCAGATTTCATACTGAATTCTAGACAGTTCACTTTTCAAGGATGAAGACATGAAGTTATGCTCTGAAATCTCTGCTAGATTACCTGCACAGAGAAGAGTTTTTTTGATAGGAAAAAGTGCTGAATACTTCCACGCCACGATGAAATTGAAAATAAAAATCAATGGCACTCAGCACTTCTAAAAATCTCAAGCTTTTTCATTTAAATGATGAACATTAGTAGTGTCATTTAAATTTGCTTTATATCTCTTCAAGATTTAGCAGTATCAATTAATCATGCAATTCTGTGCATTCCCTGCTTAAACTGCATACAACTCATACTGCTTCCTTAGACTGGAGGAACACCAAGCACCAGCTGAAATAACATTAGCCACCAAGTAACTCCTCTCCCTCCACACACTTTTTTTATTAACTTACTGTTTTCTCCATCCAGCAGAGACAGGTTTCTAGTGTAACATAGATTTAGTCTTCTACCAGTGCTGGATGCAAATGGTGAGAATTTATCTAAAACACAAATACACAGATACGTTACTTTCATTCTACTTTGGCAAAACACTTAAAACTTACACCATAATGTCACTGTCCTGCTATTACTACCATCAGACATTTACACAGGACATAAAAGGCTGGGGAACTACTCTAACAGGCGGTGACAATCCCCTACTCAAGCTTCACCACCAAATAAACTGATACTGTGTAACCTACAGAAAACATGACACTAACAACAGCACTTACAAAGGAGGATGACATTGACTTTTCTCCATGACCATATCCCTTGAACAGCACAAGCAAGCATGGGAATTCAACTGCAACGTAGCAGATTCAGATTAACCTTTAGGTGAAGGTTCCAACTGTAAGAGGAGTCAAACATGGCAGCAAATTGCCTGGTGAGATTGAGGGGGTTGCTATTACTTGGTGGTTTTGAGAATGGATTGGGTATACAGCTATCAGATATTGCCCAATTAGTTAATCATCTCTTAAAGTAAGGGAATAGGGTATAGGAATCTTTCCAATCCCACTTTCCCATGCTTCCAGGATAGTTAAAGTGGAGGAGGAAAGAAAATTAACCAGGCTGCTGGCAGCATGTATTAGATTTATGTGTTTTGTTAACAGCAAATACATGCCCTGCTGGTACAGCCATTAAGAGTGTCAGAACAAGAATGTTGAGCTCCTGGAGTCCTGTTCATTCCATTAAACCCTACTGCTCCTCTAGTCCCAGCAGAGTCCATTCCATCTCTGAAGACCTTGGGCCAACAGTAGGAATAATTGTGACAGATACCCACTGTTTATGCTTGTAAAGAGAACACAGTGATACTGACTATGAATCCCAAAGTCTTCCAGATAGGGCCTATCTGAAGTGCTGTGGGAAGTAGTCTGTACATTACAGTGGTGACATATTATCTGTCCCTTAACAAAAGCTGAAGTCTGCTCTGTGTGTAAATATCTGACAGATGCCAGAATGCAGAACCCTGAGCAGGTAGAAAGTAAGGCAAAAAGCATGCAAATTAAATAATTGCACATGATCTCACAGCACTGTCTCATCCAGCCACAAGTAAAATAAAACAAAACAAAAAAAGGAATGATCCTTACCATCTGACTTATCTCTAAAAGCATCTGTTAGCATTTTCTCTTTCAGTATGAGTCCTAGAGCTGCCTGACACAGAACTTCGTGTGGGGTTGCCTTTTTGGTTGGAAATAGTTCATCATGGTGTTGAGGAATGAAATTAGTGTGCACGTTTCCAGCCTCAAACTGTGGGTGTCCTGACAGGCTCAGTAAGAAATCAATATTAGTGCTTAATCCTACAATCTACAAAGAAAAAGAAGCATATTGCCAGATCTAAATAAAGTTGTGAACTAACACACAGCTTTCTGCTCAACTTATACACAGATGACAGATGAATCTTTGTTCAGACAGCACCATCAAAACACAAAGTTTATCAATAAAATGTAATCAATTCAACTGGTCTGTTACCTATTAAACCATTGCCATCAATAAGAAAAAAGAGTAGGCTTCTCAAGAGCACCGTTTTCAAAATAGCTACTTTTGTCTATTGTGAAGTCAAAGGAAGTTTCCCAGCAACAGTAATGGGAGATGAAAAGCCTACTGTTCTGGAAAATCATGCCCTGAGTATTTAAAAGGATATTCTTGATACAAAAAGCACCTCCTATTGAAAATGAGTTACAATAGTTTCAGATAGTCCATATTTGGTATTTTAATAGAAACAAATAGAAACAAATAGAAAACAAATCCCTTATAAATGTACTAGATACTATCCATTCTCTGTACCACAAAATACCCAAGCAAACAACGTGAAAATAAAAATAATTATTTTAGAGAAACCCATGAAACTGGTAACTATACTGCATTATCAACATTCATTGACAGAACAAAAAAAAAAACCAAAAAATCTGAAAAAAAACCCAAGGGAATTATTTTTTGTCTTTCAATGGCAGCAATCTTCATTCTTAGCTAAAACAGCAGTGGGCCAAACATTTTCAGTACCTCAATCATGCTTATATTATTGATTTAAAAGTGTAAATTAATTCTGCGCAGAATTATTTCTTACTCAGCCTCACCTCACATTAAACCTTTTGAATTCCACCTCTGAAAAGAGGTAAAATACCTGTAGTTTTTATAGAGCGAAAAACAGACCACTTCCTAAGAAGAAATGACAGCCTTCAAGAATCTCCCTATTTCTTTACTATGTGTTGTCAAAAATTTAATTGTTATTATAAAATAGAAATTACAAGTGAAGAGTCTGACACAAATTCCACCTACAAATTCCTTTAATTTTGAGAAACTCACACTACAACTGCAAATGTTCTTTAGCCTTACTCTTCCACAAAGTCCCAGCCACATCATCCAACTAAACACATTACAACTTAAGAATCTGTGTGTAAAACTGGACTTCACACTCTACTCACTCCACCAACAAAAGCAGTTTGCAAATTAGGAAAAAATACAGCTCCTGCAAACAAAAAATGAATCTGAAAGGGCAGTGGCAATGCAGGCTCCTTCTTGGAAACCACTTTTGTTTTACTGTAGCGTTTTATCCATATTTTGTTAGCTCAGGATGTTCACAACATAGGCCCAAGATCTGAAATCATAGTGAGTTCCTTCTACTTACATTATATTGGTGCAAACTGTATCGCAGCTTTCTCAGCGCTGCTGGACGATCCTCAGCCCAAACAACCAGCTTGGCAATCATTGGATCATAATGAACAGAAACCTCATCACCTAAAACAGATTTTTAAAAAAATGTTGTAACACTAAAACAACTATGAAAGTTAGTAATGCACAGTACTGCTTACTATACAGCATTAAACTCTGACAGAGAAGTGTGGCCATCAGCTACATCTCCTTAAAGAACATTACTCTCATGACATGACCTGGCATTTCATTGCCAAGCACAACTTCTGTGGAGGGAACTTTTGTAGAGGTAACATTACTCAAATTCATTTTTTTTTCCTGCGATCAGAATGCACGATAGATAAATTGTGATGGGGAATATAATCAGCGTGATCCAATGGACAATAACTTGGATACAGGGAAATAAAGAGGTAAATACAATATTCAGTGCTTGACCAGAAGTACTTGGGCAACCACCAGGAAGAATAATTCTGTGAGATTTGTTTTTATAACAACACCCTATCAAACAAATTTATTTATGTCAAAGAGAGAAATGCTTACAAAGAAAAGCTTCTGACATTAAGTATTTCTGATGATACTACTGCCTTCAATTTTACCTTGTCTGACTCCAGTTTCTATCCTGGTGAACCTATCAGGTGGTGGGGTGGATAAATGCAACAACGGCCCAGCCCCTGGCATAAAGTTATTATTAGGGTCTTCAGCATATATTCTAGCTTCAAATGCATGGCCCTGGAGCAGAATCTCTTCTTGCATTAGGGGAATCTTCTCTCCTGCTGCAACCTGGAAGCAGTAATTTTTTTTTTTCTTTAATACAGGATCAATATTCTAATGTGCCAATGTATGATATATCAAATATCTTTCTTGCAAACGTGAACAACTAGAAAGCACATTAAAAAAGGCAAAAAGAGAAAAAAGTGGTAGGTCATAAAAGGCTAGTTCTGAGGTTACTCCTTTCCTCTTCTCTGAGAGTCACCAGTCAAAGGATTTTGACTTATTATTGTGTAAATTGATCTCCTAATATATCACACAAATTGATTGTGTAAATTGATCTCCTAATATATCACACAGCTAAAACATAATGGAAAAACAGCTTACTTTTTCTTCTACTGGTTATGTTAAAAAATAATCAAGCATTTAAGTTCAAGCCTGGTCAACTAAGACAAGATTTTATTTGAGAAAATTTGCTCCAAAAGCAGATGAGAAAATGGATCACTGGCAGCCAGCACTACTGGCATACACTGTTGATTCTTCTGTGTACTGTGGGACCTGTACACTTAAGAGAATGTTTCTCTAAGGGGATTTCAAACAATTTAAGAACCTTTAATGGGGAAGAAATTCACTTTACAAATACAGGATCATCAGTTAGAGACCAGAAAACCGGGGCTTCCAGGGACAAAATAGTAAGAAGCAGCTGGAGTTAAGCACCGAGGAGACTCTGTACCACAAAACTACACCATTTCCATAAATAAAAGCTTCTGTTAAAAGAATTTGTAACAACCTTTCATCTTCTTTTGAAGTGTCAGGGGTTTTCCATACCCTGCCTTCTGCTATCAAACTCTGGATTTCAGCAGAGACAGCAGAATGTAACTTAGTCTTCAAAGAAAGAGTAGTACTATAAAGATTCACAAAAATAACTTCCCCAAAAACTGATATATTTTATTAAGTCACATGCCAAGACCACTGGACCTTTCACCTTATCTATTTTTCTTTCTCCCAGTACCGTTTGATCCCTGCTCCAACTCAGTACTCAATGCTCTTATTTCCATTCCAAGATTAGGAAGCCAAAGGTTCCTCCCTTTTGCATCAGCATTTTCCATTTTAATTTTCTTTCTGGTTACAGTAAACACTCCCCCACCTTATCTGCTTCAGCTCACTGTGTGCTGCTGTCCTCACTGTTACATTTACCAAACCAGAATTGTTTTTCATTTCCAGTTCCCTAAGGTCCAAAACTTCCTATTATCATTTGAACGTGTGAGTAATCTCTCTGCAAATTCGGTCTATGAGGAAATAGCCTGTTTCCAGTCCACACAACTATACATTTTAGAATGTGACTATACTGGTATAACACCAGACATGTTTTTGTGAAGAGTTTTTCTCCTACAGCCTGACCAAAGAATGATTTTTGGGCAAGAACTAAGTTTTAAACAATTTTCAGCACAGTAAAGGAAAAATCAGGATCCTACTCCTTCCACTTTCCACATTCTCTATAACCTCTCTAAATGTACTTTAAAAAAAAATTTTTTTCTCCACACAACTGGAGGACAATTTTTGTTGGAATTCAGAGCATCTACACAATGATCTACAGTCAAATACAGTAATACAAGATGTTCCTTCAGAGAGCAAAGGAAACTCTACCCTGTTAGCTGAACACAAGATGAGGATCTGAGAATCTATCTGGTCTCTCATAGGCAGTATCAAAGAGCACTATTCACCAGACAGGAGGAACTCTACATGTAAAACCAATTAACACTTACCCTAAGCTGCCACTCCACCAAGTCCGTCCCAGTGATCATCTCTGTAACTGGGTGCTCTACTTGCAGTCTGGTATTCATCTCCATGAAGTAAAAATTATGTTGGGAGTCCATAATAAATTCCACTGTTCCTGAAGTATTTAATAAAAGGGCACTTTACCAAAACAAGACTTTTTCAGAACGGACACCTAAGACAACTAATTTATGCCAGGCCAAGACTATTATTTATAAATCAGATATACTGAATTGCATTAAATTCTACAAAAATTATCTTAAAAGGGTCACACAACTGAGGTCTGAAAACGGAAGGGCTGTTTCTTTGCAATATCCTGTGCTGTTTAGTAGCCACTGTCCTCTGCAGTAAGAGCTGTATTTTATTACAAGTTGTAAAAAGCACATCAACACTTAAGTGTTGCCTATACATAGTGGGTGCGTAATAATTTTTAAAAAAGTAAGTATCCAAAGAAAACACTGAGACAAGGAGGTCAGAAATCATTTTACCAGGTTATTTTTCATGTAGAAAATAGTGTGGACTTGACAGACAGTGAGCTGTGTTTTTCATTCAGAGGCTTCACTTTCTGAGTATGAAGTATTATTCTTTGTATGCTGAAAGAGATATTTTCCCTTGCTCCTCTCAAACTTACTAACATTCACAATGCTCACTTTCCAACAACAATCTAGTTGCCTGAATTACCTGCTCTGAAATTTTTTCTTTCTATTCTTCAGCTGCCACTGGCCTTGAGCTCAGACCAGGTACGCTAATTTAAATTTTAGCTACATCAGATTTAATTATGTGATTACTTGCTTAAACCTCAAAAAAAGTTGGGGGATATGTGTCATACTCTTATAAAAATCATATGCTATTTGCCTTGAGACATGCAAGTCTTATTAAGTCAAAGGCATACTTCTGTAGCAGCTGTACCTCCACAGGCTTACCCGCTCCCACGTAACTCACTGCTTTAGCTGCTTTGACAGCAGCTTCTCCAAGTCTCTTTCGAACTTCAGGATTAATTCCTGGCTGTTAAGAATAATACAAAAGATTATAAATTAATTGTGATTTTCAGTGATATTAATCCTACTATGCACAAATACTTGGTGGTAGTTAGCAACCCTAGTGAAATCCTTATCAATGCTATGCTTGAAATCTACATGATTTTTCCCTGAGAATCATTTTCCTGAAGAAAGTAATTTTTTCAGTTAGAACACTTTCTGCTAGAACATTTTCTGCAATTAAAATTAAGCAAATTTAACTTCAGCAAAATTTAAACAGGTACTGAGAATTACAGATAAATTATTACCAGCTAAATAAATTCAATGATGGTTAGAAATTACTATAAAAATGTCGGTTCACCAAAAAAAATATGTTAAGAACTTTCTTCTTACCCCTGGTGCCTCTTCAATGATCTTCTGATGTCTCCTTTGCACACTGCAGTCTCTTTCAAATAAATACACTGCGTTGCCATGCTGGTCACCAAACACTTGGACTTCCACGTGCCTGTTCCATAATAATACATGTTTCAACGTGTTTCAGTAAAACGACAATCCTGTGACAGGCTTCACCCAAAAAGACTTGGAACTTGTGCACAGTCCTTTAAACTTCAGTATGACTTCTTATAGGTTTAAGCGTTTGCCCTCAAATAGCCAAAAACACAGAAATGAGGCTGCTGTTATGCAGGATTTCAACTCTTTCTAAGACTTTCTCAGCTTCCCAAATGAAACAGGATTCTAAATGCCAGCTACTGCAGTGAAACCTCATAGGTTGTAGGATAAGAAAGACACATCTAAAAGCTGCCACCTCTATTAGTTATTATACTAAAAGTAAAGCTGCTTTGCTACTGTTTGATAATGCTGATTTCCCTCCTAACTTACTATCAATTCACAAGAGGCAGCAGCCCTGGCTCAGGAAAAACACTGTTTACTTCACACACCATTTCAGAGGACAACTATTAGATGGTAGAACTTTGTTCTAGGTACAAAACTAACAAAAACATGACACTATTCTGATAATGCTCTGTTGCTAGCAAAATAAATTCCCCAGGAATTTAACGAGATTTTCCTCATGCCCATCTGACAGCATAAGCAGGCCCTCAGTTTCTTTAGGATAAATGCTTTCTTTATAGTGGTGCCTCAAGAAAAACAGATGTGAAGTACAAGAGTATCAAATAGACCTCTGGAAGAATTTCTTTATTAAAAAAAAAAATCAGCTGAGTTTTGCAAGTCAGGCATGAGCTGAAGACTATAATTTCTGTTTTAAATATCAAAATAGAAAAAGATTAAATAACTACTTTAGGACACCTGAGGGCAGCAGAAATACCTTGACAGTCTGACTCAGGTCTGTAGCTTAAGAAAATGATTTTTTTTTTTAGATGCAAACTAAGTTTAGAAAACTCACTCAAGGAGGAATATCACTGTCATTAATGTCACTGCTGTGCCTCCCCAACATCAGTATTTTAATTCTTATCATTCAAAACGAAGTCACTACAAGAAAATTCAATACCTTATGAACAATTTTGACTAAATTAAGACTTGCCATAGTGCAAATAAAACATACAAGACCAGTTTTCTTCCCACTACTAAAATAGTCATGTTTTATTTAACAGTAGAATAAATACTGTAGTGTTTATGTTAACGCATCTTCTTCTCACCTTGGATTATCTACAAACTTCTCAATCAGCATTGCATCATCATTGAAAGACTTCTTCGCTTCTCTCCTAGCTGATTCTAGTTGGTCCAGAAACTCCTTTTCTGAGTGAGCAATTCTCATGCCCTAAAATACAGAAGAAAAAGCATATCTAAATGTCTAAAAACATAGTACACAACAAAAATCCTTGTTACACACAAGCAGCAAGAAATTAGCTTAATGATAACACTCTTCTTTCTTAAACATTAGCAAAATTGTGTATCAACTTCCAGTAAAATAATGCTACTAAGTTGCATGAAAATGCAATAAGAAGCATAAAAAATAGGTATTATCGTTCCATTAATATGGACAAGTATAAAATTCAATTTTTTTCTTAAATATCACAGAAATTTTCAAAGCTGTCAGAGAAAAACTGATTTGACTACAAAATAAATATAGCTAATTTGGAAATCATTAGAATTCGCTGTCATGTCATTTCTGTAGAAATTTATTTCAGAGTAAAATGTAGATTTAGACAGGGAATTCACCACACATTAAAATGTTTTTAGTCACCAAATACTTAAATGGTATTTCTAATCACTTCTTACACAACATTTAAAACTGTTAGCTAAGAGTTACAGCAGCTATCACAAAGTAACTGTTTAAACTCATCTCATTTTGCACCAACAAATCTACAGAACAACTTTTCTGCTTATGTGAATTAGTGGAGATCCACTGAAATAAATAATACTCTTCCAATATAGACCAGCTACTTCTCTTGTGCCTGCCTGTACAACTAAAGGAAATGAGACTTCATAGTGCTAGATCAGGCATGAATAATAAATTCTAACAAAAAGTAGTTTTCCAGCTTGTTTTCAGATTTCTTTTAGAATATTTGTTACAGACAACAAGACATAACAACTTTACACCATGTGATGAACAGATTAGTTTCTTTACCTTTCCTCCACCTCCTCGAACAGCTTTAATCATTACTGGATATCCTATTCTCTTGGCATGTTCCTTTAGACACTCATCTGATTGATCTTCTCCATGATAACCTTCAACAACAGGAACGCCAGCAGCAGACATTATAGCTTTGGAAGTGCTTTGACAGAATAGTTTTATGTTTAGAATGATAATAGTATTTTTTTCTTTCTTTAAGCTCCAAACTTGCATATGTTCCCAATGTTAATTCTCCTCACAAAAGTAGTTCCACTTGACCTCAACAGGACTACTTACAGAAGTAAGTTACAGGTGACTGGACTGCATTTAATCAAATGCTTCCAACAGGGTTGCTTTATTCTCCAAGCCATAAAAGCAGGAGTCACCTTCAAGCTTACTGTTCTTTCCTATCTTTTGACCCACATTATAGAGGCCAAACCATAACATTTTCAAATTATGACACTGCAGCCTGCCAAAACCATATTTAAAGTTGTAAAAAGACAAAACTCCTTTCATGACACAGGCTGGATTCACAACACCACACATAAAACACTCAAACACAACAACTACAGCTTCAAATATGCATGCAAAACTAGCTAAATTACAGAAGTAACTTACGCTCACATGAAGAAGTGATATAAAATTAATTCTCTGAGATTAACATTATACAGTTCATGTGTTAGTAACAACCTTATTTCCATATTCTTGATACAGACTTCATACACTGGAAACATTCCTTTGATCTAAGTAACAAAGAGTAAGATCCTCTGGGATGAACAAAGCTTATCATCCCATTTTACATGAGCCACATTAACCCCTGATGATAAGGTGTTTATTTTCCACCAATATCCAAGGCATCCAATCTGACAGCTGAACCCTCACCTATTTATACAGGGGCACTGCAATACCCCATTCTGGAAAACTAGAATCAGTTAGGTATGTAATTACCAACATCCTAGTAACTGAACCATCTTCTTTTTTTCTATGTCTATAGGAATCCCACATCTATAAACCCACAGCTTATACCTTTGAAGAAAGCCATTAAAATAAAAGATAACAAAAACTGACAGAATAAAACCATTATGGAGCAACTGGTCATTTGCTAACAAAATCAGCTTTACCAAACTGTGAACTGCATAAGCAAGTAACAAAACAGAAATAGATACCTCTTAATACCCATATCTCTGATAGCAGATGAAGGCGGACCTATGAAGATGATTCCCTCTTGCTTGCACAACTCTGCAAACTCTGTGTTTTCTGAGAGGAAACCATAACCTGGATGAATAGCCTAAAATAGAATAATGTTACTAGCCTATTTTTGTATCAATTTAACTTAGAAAACCCTAGAACTTCAGCAGAGTGCTAAGGAAACACAGCATGGAAATGCCACAGGTAAAAACAAAGAGCATGGAGGACTTAAGGTCATGATCTACTTACTTGGGCTGCTGAGATCTTGGCTACCTGCATTATTTTCTCCATGGCCAAGTAACTCTGCTGTGAGGGTGCTGGACCAATGCAATATGCTTCATCTGCCTGTTATAGGAAAAACACTAATACAGACTTTATTTATTAAATAACTGAATTTCTGAGCTCATAATATTAGTTTATCAGACATGGCATGCAACAGCTTAAATTGCTGCCTCTCCTCATGGAGAGATACAACGAGGTGAAATAAATTCTGACTTTCTTTCCAAAATTACTCCATCCTCTAACCCCCAGTTGCTACTCTGGAGTTACAGCACCAAACTAAGGCAATTTCTGAAAAGCTGCCAGATGCCAAGACAAAGACCAGGCAAACTTCTCACTGACTGAAGAAAACCTTGGAAGTAACTCTGCAGAAGTTAAAATCAACTGCATTAGTACACACATCTACTTTCAACACTGAACTTATTAATGAGAAATACTGTTGTGAATGAACATTAACCGCAAACTTAATGAATATACTTCACCATTGCTACATGCATGGAATTTCTGTCTGCTTCACTATAAACTGCTACAGACTTCACACCCATTTTCTTTGCTGTTCGCATCACTCTGCATGCAATTTCTCCTCGGTTTGCAACAAGAATCTTCCCTATGGTGTGACCTCCTGTTTAAGAAGATGAAGTACATTAAGTAATTTCTACAATAAATAAATTCTTAAAAATATTCCTGGAAATGGAAGCAATCTTAAAATTCAGGTTTCTTTTTCCATAATTCATACGCTTCATGCATTGCTTCCAATAATGAAAAAATACATGCTTCACCCAAAAGCATTTCCATGCTAGTCTTGGAATTTTCTCTTTATGCAGAAGTATGTTTAATTTAAGAATTTTTTTTTTCTTTTTAGAATCCAAGAAAATATTCTAACCCTAAAACAACACTTAAACATGAAAGCTAATGCTTGTATTTTTACTGTGTACCTTCTGGACCGAGCAGGAAACAATTAACACCTGTCTCCCTGCCTCCCAAGTAGAATTGATTCACATTTCTTTGAATATGCCCACTGATTCACAGTCACAAAGGAATACCAAAGTATGAAGTTTTTTGTTGAGTTGTTTTGGTTTGGTTTTTATTTCTTTTTTTTTTAAACAGTGACATAACAATCTTCTATAAAGCCTCGTGACAGCAGTTAAAATATGATAGAAATGTAAGGCCAGCAGAGCTGTAGGTCTCACAGGCAGGACTAAACAGCTTAAAACTAACTAATAAAACAAAAAATATATCTCTGAATTCTAAAATAAAACTTCTTAGACAATGTAACAACAGAGTCAGTTTAAATCACCTTGCTAAATATTTTACTTCATTCGTATATCAATTAAATATCATTATGCCTAAAAACCAATTCTAACAGGCTTTGCAAGATTTGTAATCAGAAAATTACTCAGAGGAAAACATCACAAAAATAAATGGTTTTCATTAAGTTGAGTATATCTACATAAAAATTATTCAAAATATTATTTACACACTAATCATTTATGTTTGGTAAGCTACAGGCTACTGTATTTTAAAACTACAAATACTGAATATTTACATTAAAAAACTACTGGTTTTTAGCAACTAATGGTTTAAAACTAAAACCACCTACCACATTATACAAGCAACTAAAGTTAGTAGCTAGAGAGGTTAGAAGTCATACCTCTCGTGGAGGCCCATTTCACAAATCTTTGTACTTGGTTCCATGGTCTGTAGAATTATAAATACACAGAAGTGTTAGAAAAGTATATGAAGTGAAAACTGAACTATTTTGGTTATGAGGCAAGAGAAGGACAGCACCCACACAGCTCTTAAGTTTTTCATACAACTATTTACACAGAACATACTGAAGTACTAAAAGGAAGGCTGTACAAGTTTCACCAGATCTCTCTTTAAGTGTTTTCTTTTAGGCACAAAAGAAATGATCCTCTTGATTTTTTTGCAGCATTCAAATTGAAATAGTCAACTTTAAAAAGACAAACAAAACAAATCCCAAACTGTTTTAGTGGACAGAACAACCAATGTCTGTCAATTATTACAGATAAGGCAAGTCAAAATACTCAAGAAAGAAGATATGAGCAACCACAAAACAAAAAAGCTTATGAAGGAAATAGGAGTTTGTGTAGTGAAAAGGTGGAAGAAAAAGTAATGTGAAAGATAGCAAGAAAGAAGAGCCATGAAGCATTTCAGAAATGGAAAGTTAAACCTCAAAAGACTAATACTGAAGAAATGAGAGAGCAAAGGCTAAGCGACTGGAAGAAACTGCAAAAGTAAATTGTAAAATGATTTTTAAACATCAGACAAAAACACACGAGATGCCCCTGACACCAGACGAACCAAAAGCTCACTTTCAATGGCGAGAGGGGAAATGGTCACATCTCCTAAATTTCCAATAACCAGCTGCCACGGTTTCCAATAACCAGCTGCCACGGTCACCGAGTCCTCCTGCCCAGGGTCTCGGGCAGGCAACGGTGCCCACAGCGGGTGCTCACCGATGGCTCCCAAACCCCGAGCACCCAGGGCAGTCTCACGCAACCTGTACCAACTGCTAAAACGATGCCCGAAACGCTGGGCGGGATGTTTTCTGCTCTTTCGCTCCGCAGGGGAGCTCGGGGTACCTCTATCCCCCCGCCTCCTCTCCCCCCAGGGCGGAAGCTCGGGGCCGG